TCTTCTTCTTCTTCTTCTTCTTCTTCTTCTTCTTCTTCTTCTTCTTCCTCTTCTTCTTCTTCCTCTTTTTGAGTCTCACGTTGTAGCCAAGGCTGACATCAAACTTGGCAGTAATGCTCCTGCCTCAGTCTCCTGAGTGCTGGGATTACAGGTACGAGTCAAATCACACTTGACTCAGGCATTGAATTCTTTATTACAAGCCTAAGAGTCTATAAGTTCCGTTTCTTAACACACTTCTCAAGGAGTTAACTGCTTTCCTCTGGCACCCTCACCATACTCACCAGGTACTTTTTATAGCAAATGGTTTATGCAAATCCACTTTACCTACCTACTCTACCACACTTGTAGCTTCCTGGAGAGAAGGGAACAGGTTATGTTCCCTGCAAGACTCCCATCACCAAAGGAACATATGGAGTCAAAGTGGGGTAGATGCTATTCCTATATGAATACCCAGCATCCAACAGTCCAATAAATTCCAGATTCATAAAAATAGAGGTAGAGGTATACAGTGTAATTATTTCACGTTACTAAGATTAGGGAGAAAAGGCCTGGGTGTGGTTCAGTGGTAGAGTACTTGTCTGGCATGCCCAAATCCCCAGGTTCAACCCCCAGAACTGAGAAAAGGTATAAAGAAATGAAAAACAACTTTAGGGGCTGTTGAATGGATCAGCTAGTAGGGGCTCTTGCTGCCAAGGACTGACATGGTGGAAGGAAAGAAGTGGCTTCTACAAGTTGTATGCAACACACACACACACACACACACACACACACACACACACACAGTGTAATTTTTAAAATCAGAGAAAATCAGCACAACAACAGGAGCAGCACATACCTAATTGTAACAGAAATGTTTATACAAATATTTTAAGATATTTTTCAGACTTAATAGTTACCTTTGAATTATATTTATTTTTTCCTCATCATTTCCTTGATCCATTACACAGACCCAGTGATCATACAGATCTGATGAAAAAATACTTTCTGGGATATTTCTCAGAAAATCCTAGATGAAGAAAAAAAAAACCCAAATATTTGAATCATTCTTATGCAAAATATGTATTGAAAAAAGAGTCCTGTCCACTCTCCACTATGTGCATGGAAGCGCGCAAGTGACATCTTTCTAAGGACCAGCTGGTTTAAACAATTCTGGACTACTGTTGAAAAAGTAAAAGACACACTATTTGGCTGAGGCTTCTGGCCTGTAGACATTTCAGCGAGCTAACAGTGGTGGGATCTGACAGTCCACCCCTTCAAACCCTTCCTTCTCTCTTTAAAATACCAAGTTCAAGGAAACGTAACAAGTTATCTGTGAGGTTTGTATCATGGCAGTCATTTGGCCCACTCCTCTATGTGCAAATGAGTCAAGCAAGCTGCTTCGACCTTAGAACGTTATATTCAGTGCTGGTGCTCAACAACATGCCGTGTTCTTGTGTTTCCCATGAAGCAAGATGGTTGTGCATCTGAGGGAAGAACCCATCTACTGGCTGCGTTCCAGGAACCAGGGTAGCACAGTGTGACTTGTGTATGGTAAATGCACTTGTCCTTGTCACACTGTCTTTTCTGCTGAGACCACCTGTGGAGATGGGTTTAGGAAAGCCAGACTATGACATGAACAGGATGTAACCACAGGTGCTTGCTGTTTTGGAGCCGTTGTTTACAAAAGGCTTAAAGACTAATTAATTGAATTTGGTTCTTGTCAAGTGTTGGGCATTGGTTCTCCGCTACCTGTCTGTGTCTCTTTTGAATAGCACTAATCGTCAAGGCTTGCAGTCTGATCCCCACCCAGTCAACATTAAGCAGGAGAACTCAATTTAGTGACATAGCCAGTCACCTTCAAGTGACAGAGACAGGTGGGAAGTCTGATATCAGGCATTAAAAGTTCTGATCACTATCTCTGCAGCTTATAAAAGCCACTATACAACTTGATGTTTCTAAATCAGGAAAGCTGGGATAATGTATTCAAATAAATTAGTTAATTATGCAGAACTCTCAACCACTGCTTATGGGTTCTATTAGGGCAGGGGCAGGCCCTTGCGCTCTTGGCTTATATGGCAATGTAAAGAGTAAGTCAGCACCTAGAGGCTATTACTCACCTGTTACAAAGTGTCACATGGACTATTAGTAGGGGGCAAGGGAGACCAGTCAACCATAACCAGATGTTAAGATAATTTAAAAACTGTAGTTGTGCTGTCTACTTTCCTTTATTTTTTTTTTTGGGGGGGGGTAAAAAAAGGTGATTGCTTCTAGCTTACTCTGTTTTCATTCTTCAAGCATAAATGCACGTAGACACCTGTGACTCAGATAATTCCTCCACAAAAGCTGCCTCCAGTTTCCAGAACTCCAGATCAACTTGCAGTACCACTTTAAAAGGCAAAGTTTAAGGGGTAAACTCTGGGTCAGGGACAACTTTGCAGCACACTCTCCCACAGTTGGAACAACAGGTCACGAAATGCAGCTGTCACAGCCCAGAAGGATGGGGACTCTGGATTACAATGACTGACCTGCAGTGCTCAGTGAAATTCTTCCCTTCAAAACCAGAGCCTGAGACAACAAGACCTTCTCCTTCATGTGGGATGATCCCACACACTGATAGGCTTCCCTGAGGGACGAGGGGCCAGAGTCATACTGTCCTGAACAAGTTTTGTCTAATCACAGTTTGAAGAGCTAAACTTATCTTTAGGCAAAACTAGGTATGTAAAATTAAAGGAACATTTAAATGACCTCAGACTGTTTTAAAAAAGAAAAGTTAAACAAAGGCTTAAGAAAACAAAGGCTTAAGCTTTATCTTCTCCCTAAAACCAAATGAAATAGATGGGGATAAAAGACACAATTCGATAAGTGATAAGATTTTGGTTATATGGAACCCATTTAGCCTCAATCATCTGGGTGCCTTTTGCTTTTGCACAGAAAATATTCCTACAAGCTGAAGCACAACTCCGTTAAGTCCATGCTTCTTTGAACAGTCTTGACAACTTAGCAGAGAATTTTTAAGAAGTGGGGTACTGTGAAACAGACAGCAAGGGATTATTTCTACAACACAGGCTGTGCCTGCCTAAATTAAGGAGAGAGAGAAGGAAAAACCTGATGATATGCATTTGTATTTGATGGTGGGGCCTTCTCCACTCCTAGCTCAGTGCATCACAAACGCTTTGGGAAACAGAATTCTGAGGCACATCTGCAGAGATGTCAAAAGCTCTGCTCACAGCTCAGTTCTTGTTTCTTTTCCAAAATTATAGGACATTTCTAAGAACATGAGGAAGAGAATGCATCAGAACCTTCTAAGAGTGGCAATGGTCAGAAGACCCAGCTGTCCCTGCTCGCCTTTTAGAGCGAAGGACATGAGGGGTAATGGATACAATTTAGGTGGCATCTGCAAATCTTCCTTGTATTACGGCAAACATAATGCTCCTTTTCAAAAGTTGTTCAGTCTTGAAAACTTTGTCTTCATTAGGAAGGCAGAGAGTGAGGAACTCAGAAAAACAGGATGTTTGCTGTGGTACAATGTCTTCTGTGTGTTTTGGTGATGAGACACAGTCTGACTCACTTGCTTTTGTGTCCAGGGTGTGAGAGTGACAATGAGACGTACACAAGGTGTAGCCTTCAAAAGTCCAACGATGCTTTGTGAAATGTGTTTTTTTTTTTTTTTTTTAAAAAACACTTTATTGATTGTAAATCTATCATGGTTCTTTGGAGACAGAAATAAACAGAATGGATTTTGCATCAGGACCTAAAGGCTGGGGCTCACAGTGGATAAACTTTCCCTACCTTCAACACGGATGCTATCACAAAGATGGATTCACAGTCAAGGTGAACTTCAATTCCAGAATTCAGTTTCTCCTTTAGCTCTCTGCAGGATTTCATGTTGGCCGACTGCCTGAAGATGCCTTTTGTGAGGGGGCCTTTTTGGTTAAGAAAGGAAAGCATATCCTATGAGGAAGCAAAGGAAATAAACTAAAATGGTACTTTACGCACACCAGCACAGGAGCAGGTACTTGCCTTCTGTGACTGGCAGAAGGCCAGGGTCTAAGCATGGAAGGCCTGGAGCTGGAGGGATGGCTAGAAGGACTCAAATGACAGTTCTAGAACAGAAAGTGGTTATAATCAGAGGCCAGGGAGATAGGCCCTGGTCCAAGAAAAAGTACAATCATGAGGTTTATTGTATAACCTGCTGACTGTAGTTAACAAGGATGTAAAAGTTTTAGAGCACAGAGTATAAGTGTTCTCCCAGTTTGCTTTCTGTCTGTCTGTCCTCTGCATCCAGTATAGAAGACAGCAGTGTGTGGAAACAAGCAATCCATGAGCTCTGGAAGCCAGTTATGCCCCTGATTTCCTGTGCAATCTGGGTTAGGTCTGAGTTTTACTTTCAAATGCATAAAGTAAGGGAGATGATGTTGCTAACTAACCGTTAGCTTTACTGTGAGGGTGAGCAAGATAACAAAACACGTCACAGTGCCTGGCATTTACGGATGGACAATACAGCACGAGGCTCCAGAATGCAGCGGTGTGGACTGCTTGTGGGATCCTGGATGCTGGGCAAATCTTGCTAAGCCATGACTGTTTCACCTATCAGTTGGAGACGATTCGAACCCAGCAGTTACTGGGTCCCATACTATGTGTAAATGACTAAACACCAGAGAATACACTTTGAAGCTTTAACATGTGAGACATAAACAAACCACTTTTTAAACGCTTAAGCAATCGGATGAGGCTTTCAGGGCAACAGAGTTGAGTGAGCTTCTATTGCTTTCTTAAAACAAGTCGACTGGACTGTCTCTTCTTACTGTATCTCCCTGAGGGTTCTGTAATGATGAAATCTGACCTTTAAGTTTTGAAGTAAGGATAGAGATTCTTAGCAAGGGCCAGGGGGTCTTTATAATCCTTCTGTTTTGGGGACAGGTCTACCCTGCAGCATGTTCCCTTCACTCACTGCCTTCCCCACTACTTTACAGACCCAAAGGACACTTACCAAGATAGGTTTCGGCAGATTGTCATTCTCACAAATATCTGGTAAAGAAACTCCAAAGAGCTGTCCTGGCATAGGGGATGTTGGCGACACGGGGATGTTGTCCAGGTGTGTGCTAGAACCCCGCCAAAAAGCCCAGTTGATGATAGAGCGCCTCCTTTTAAACGTCTTCTGCCCAGAATCTAAGACACGAGATCAGGAGGGAAACTTGTGATTCATTCGCTTATTTCTGCAGTTTCTGGTCTAAAGTTTATTCGTTACAATAGCTCAGACAAGGGCTGATGGAGGTCCCTTGGTACTGACAATGTGAGCTATGACAGTCCATTAAAATAAGGAAGAATCTAGAGTTTGGCTACTGCTTCGAGGTATATTTTACATTTCTGGGCTAGATTACTGCACTGCTGATTGGAGTCTTGCCGCTGAAATCTAGAGAAGAGGTTACAGTTCTTAGCTGGAGGTGTGGGCCACTGGTAGAGAACCTGTCTGCCTCGCGCAAGACCCAAGTTCCACCCCCAACACTGGGCGACAAAGAAAACACTCCTTTCTCGTTGAGCTATAACAACTTGAGGAGAAAGCACTTTGCATCAACGTATACTTATGAATTTAAAAGATGAGACAGGCATATAAAAAGCTGAAGAATGAATTAGTTCACAATTAAAAAGTGAGTAAAAAGGAGGAGGAGAGGATGGGGGAGGGAAGACAAGCTAGCAGAGGAACCAGGGAGAAGGAAGAGGAGTTATTTTTTGTTTTTCTAGAAACAAAGAATGCTTTGTGCTCTGATGTCTCATCTGACTGAGAACAGAGACGGGAAGCTAACGTTTTATATCTGTTCTCCTCTGGTAACTGAGATGCTGCCAATGTATCTTTTTCAATATGCAATTTCAAAAAATGTGTTTAAGACAGCATAGATGCAGACCAGTGAGACCCACCAGGCCCCAGAGTGTGGGGTGGCAACACCTGGAGAGAGACCTGCACGGATTGGGAGACCTAAATTCTGACAGAGGCAACCACAACACACGAAAGGAAAAGGGGTGCCTGAAAGGAGAAAAGCAGAGTGTGAGCCCCAAATGCTGCAGGTAAAATGAGCTCATATCTTTCGGCTAATACCTAAAGCAAGCAGTCATGATGCTGATTTAAAGCAAATCAAAAAGCTCGCAATGAAGGTACAAGAAAACTGAGCTTTGGAGAGCTTTTGTACACAGAAACTTCCCATCCCAGGGAGAGCAGGGAGAACTGGACATTAAACTCTGCTACATGGCATCTCTATTCAGAAATGACACTCTGCTGTTCAACACTGGATAGGAAATAATCCAAGAAGAGATGGTCAGCAGTATCAAATGCTAATTTCGAAAGAACCCCTTGTGCCATTTGGCTGTAAAGTAACTCAACATGTTTTTCTTCAGAATAATCGACTTAAACCAAATATGAAGTACGCCAAGTTGTGGGATAATAAATGAATGAGCAGTTATTCACTAAATGCTATTTTGACTATAACCACCCTTATCTTCCTTATGCTACTGGAAGCGTGAAATGCAAGGAGGCGTGAAGCTCTCTTGACAGCGGAGTCAGGAGCCTCCTTAAACTTCAGGTTCACATGCCCATTTCAATTTTCCTATTTTCTGTAAGTTGAAAAAGATTTATCTATCTGCCAAAAGGCCTACTTGAGAGAGCACTAGGCTAATTTTGAAAAGTATATGCTCAGGGCATGGTTGTGGGCTCTCAGTTAAAGCTGTACCAGGCTTTCCTGACAGAGGACATCTCTTTGTACCCATTTTTTTCATGGGTTTTACAGCTATTGGGAAGTATGCAGACAAGAAAGACTATTATTCCTCACAACTATAGCACTTTCTTCATTCTTTGATCTAACTTCCATTCCAAACAAAGCAAAACGGAAAATGGACCAATTCTTCCTTAAATCCAGGAAGGAATTTGCCCACCAAGCCATGCAAATGTCTGTAGTGATGAATGCTAGTTTTCTGTCTGGTTTGTATGTTCTAACCCATTTTTTTTCAAAGCTGTCATATTTGGTTTTATCTTTCACACACTTAAGGCTATTCTATCACCAAGTTACATACCCAGCTATGAATGTAGACAGAGGATAAAGTCAACATTGAGTCATATACTTAAATATTTTCAGTGACAGCCATCCAATTTGTTGTGTATAACATTTAGTGTGAAATGTCAGGTTCCCTGGGACTGAGGAAAAAAAAAACTGATTGAAGCTTATTATTTTTTGCAGCCTTTCAGTGCATACTTTTTTCTTTTTAAATGACAAAAGCTGATAACAAAAGATGAGATTGTCATATTAAAAAAAGACACAAGGACGACATAAATAGACAGAAACCTAAGTGTAAATTTAGCTTTCCTAGATACTTTTCATGTTTGCATGATTAAACTTCAATACTAAAAATATTTTTTCACTTTAAAAAATTATGTATATTTTTATAATTTACAGTTTATTCATTTGTATCTCCACTGTAGCCCTCTCCCTCATCCCCTTCCAATCCCATCCTCCCTCTCTCATCTCCTCCCAAACCCCTTCCCAAGTCCACTGATAGTAGAGTTGCTCCTCCTCTTCTCTCTAACCCTAGCCTATCAAGTCTCATCAGGACTGGCTAAATTGTTTTCCTCTGTGGCCTGGTGAGGCTGCTCCCCCCTCAGGGGGAGGTGATCAAAGAGCCAGCCACTGAGTTCATGTCAGAGACAGCCCCTGTTCCTCTCACTAGGGTACCTACTTGGACACTGAGCTGCCATGGGCTACATCTGTGCAGGGGTTCTAAGTAATCTCCACGAATGGTCCTTGGTTGGAGTATCAGTCTCAGAAAAGACCCCTGTGCCCAGAATTTTTTGATCTGTTGGTCTCCTTGTGGAGCTCCTGTCCCCTCCAGGTCTTCCTCTCTTCCCCTTCTTTCATAAGATTCCCTGCACTCTGCCCAAAGTTTGGCAATGAGTCTCAGCATCTCCTTTGATACCTTGCTAGGTAAAGTCTTTCAATAGTCCTCTATAGTAGGCTCCTGTCCTGTTACCTGTTTTCTCCCTCTTCCAATGTCCATCCCCTTTGCCTTTTTGCATGAGGATTGATCATCTTACCCAGGGTCCTCCTCCTTGCTTAGCTTCTTTAGGTGTACAGCTTTTAGTATGTTTATCCTATATTATATGTCTAATATCCACCTATAAGTGAGTATATACCATGTGTGTCTTTCTGCTTCTGGGATACCTCCCTCAGGATGATCTTTTCTAGATCCCACCATTAGCCTGCAAATTTCATGATTTCCTTGTTTTTAACTGCTGAGTAGTATTAATACTAAAAATATTAATTTGTACATCTTTACAGCTAAAAGAATAATAGTTGTGACCAAAAAGCTTTAACTGGAAATTCTCTTCTGGCCATGTAAATATCTCCCCTCCCTCGGAGTAGCACATTCGTGTGGGAACCGTAGACTGCCAGGGTGCAGAGGGGTGTGCTGTGTTCTACCATCACCTACAAGCCAATTCACCATTACGGTAGGCCTGGGACTGCACGGGCGTGGGGGAGGGGCCGGCGGTGCTGCAGGTCTGCTGCAGTTTGGGCTGGAAAATGGACAGTTCATTCAGACCACACATAGATACCCCACTTTCCACCAAAGCTGCTCACCCTGGTATCTCCATTCTACATGTAACTGAGCCACTCAATCATTATTTGCCTCCAGCTTTGTCTCTCATTGAGCAAGAGACTCAAGATGGACGTTCTCATGGTCTAAGGACAACGGTATCTTTTAGATGTCACACAGGATATGGAGGAAGAGCTTGAACAGGGTAACAACTTGCTTGAAGGGACAAAAGTTTGCAAGAGGTGACATTTCAGTATTGAGCCCAAATAATTTTAATGTTTACATCTGGAACCTTCCAATACAGTAGAGCCGCTCACTGGAGACTAATCACCGTGAAGGAAAGTTTAAGGGATCTATTTTTTTTCTATATCTGCAGGAACTTTTATTTATTTAATATTTAGATTTTAAACTATGTTTTAACTTTAATGTTTTTTCTTTCTTTCTTTCTTTTTTTTTTTTTTACTGCTTTGAGACTAAAATGTAAAAGTTTTTCCGTAATATGACCTCAATGCAAAAAGAAACCTTAAAGTTTGTAAGCTTTCATAATTTAAGTGTTTACAAGCTAGTTTTAATGAGTCCCCCTCTGTTTGGCAGGCACGGACAACACAATCTCAGGATTATAGTCCAGGCCTAGACCTCAATTCTTTTCCTACTTTGTGCATTGGTGTTCTGCCTGCATGACTTTGTGAGGGTAGTAGATTCTCTGGAACTGGAGCTACAAACAGTTGTGAACTGCCATGTGGGTGATGGGATTTGAACTCTGGTCCTCTGGAAGAGCTGCCAGTGTTCTTAACTTCTGAGCCATCTCTCCAGCCCCTAGACCTCAGTTTTTAACACTTCTACCTTGGCTTCCAGAGAAAGCATTATTTTTCTTAAGTTAACCAGAGGAGATACCAAGTTTTGTTTTGTTTTGTTTGTGCCTAATTATGGCTGATAGTAAGCAGGCAGCATAAAATATTAGCAGAAAGAAATTATCCTCTTTTGTTATCTCCCTGTTAACCTTAGAAATAAGAGATTTCTTGCATGAGAGACCATGGCAACGTAGCTACTTCATAGGACTAAGCAATTCACAAATTTGAGTTGTGAGAATTTAAGAGATACAGAACGTGGGACGCCATGTGTACATGGCAAATATGGGCAAACTCTACACACTTACGGAATATGCTGAAAAGCACATAGGTCAGGCTGCCATGACGGTGATCGAGGGCGGTGAGAAAGAGTGAAGACAAAGTGTTGCTTTACTTGCTTGACATGGGGTCAGACTCTGTGGTCTAGGCTTGCCTGGGAGCTGTGGCAACCCTGCCTTACCCTCCCGAGTTTCCTTTCAAATTCTGGTTTTTCACAAGTGATGAACTGGGCCACAGAAGGTGGGAAGGAAGGGGATGGAAATGATATAGGCATATTTTCTACCTCACAGTGAGGCTGTGCACTGAAAACAGTACTGAAAACACACAGTGGCACACTGGCTCACACATGAAAGGCAGCAGCAGGTGCAGTGAGAATGCTGGCAGTATGGCCAGTGGTTACAGTGAAAGGGTGTCTGTTTCATGAGGAGAATTCATGTTACCAGGCGCAGACATGGGGGTTGCGAGATCTGGGACAGAGGATGTAGGCGGGGTTTCATTCCACTAGACTATGCTCTGCAATGCTGCATGGAGTCCAAGGAAGCTCCTCTATCAACTGAGTTAAAAAGTCAATAAAAGTCTAGGTTCCAGGTAAAAACTGCTTGATAACAGGAATCTAATAGTCTCATTTGTAGAATAGATGTCTGGATCCTTTACTGTAACCTTTTTTTTTTTTTTTTTTTAAACCTGTCTCTGCCTCCTGAGTACTGGGATTAGAGCCATGTGCCACCACCACCTGGCTTTACTGTAACTTTATTTTTAAATTTTACGTTTTCTTTCCTTTCTTCCTTCCTTCCTTCTTTCCTTCTTTCTTCCTTCCTTCCTTCCTTCCTTCCTTCCTTCCTTCCTTCCTTCCTTCCTTCCTTTCTTTCTTTAACAACGTATTCATTTTATATCCCAATTGTAGGATTGTTGCTCCCTCCCTCATCTCCTCCTGGTCCCACCCCCTTCTTCTTCCCCCCATCCCCTTCCTCTAGTCCACTGAAAGGGGGAGTTCTCCTCCCCAGCCATCTGACCATAGCTTATCAAGTCTCATCAGGACTGCCTGGATCCTCTTCCTCTGTGGCCTGGTAAGGCTGCATTGCCAGGAGTAAGTGATCAAAGGGCAGGCAACTGAGTTCATGACAGAGGCAGCCCCTGCTCTCCTTACTTGGGAACCCACATTCTCCTGCCCCAGAATCCAGAGTGCTGGGTTACAGATATGCATCACCACACCTGTCACTAATCTAAAACTGTAAGATAGAAATAAAAAATAAAACTATTACAGTACTTAAGCCATTCTGAAAACAATTTGCAACAATTAGAATTTCTAAGATCACCCTAATTCCAGTCGCATTTTTTCTTTTCTTTTCTTCTTTTTTTAAAAACTAACTTTTATGTAAGAGTAAAGAAAATTTCCACACTTCAAAATCCATGTGAATATGTAACTGAGGTGATTAATTTGTGATGGAATGCTAAGAGGCAATTGTCAAAAGAAGAATCTAATAAAATTCTACAAATTCCATTCAAGAGAGAAATGTGCACAATTGAAATTGTGTATTTTTATAATGGCATCAGTATTTAGCTATACTTAGCTGTGTAAAAATGTTTTAAGATGATATATACCAGTTTCATCATAGATAAGAACGTGTACATTCAACTTCTATGATTAGATCAAGAACGTCAAATCCCAAATAAGCAAAATGCCTTTCCCCCAAATTCAATTTTTCTCATCTACAGACATTGTGCTTGATTAAAAATTCTACCAGTAAGAAATTTATGGAGATTGCTTTTCTCCTATTTCATCTAAATTTTCTTATCAGGTTATGTCAAATGGATTATCTTCCAATAAATTTTTTCAGAATTTCATTGGCAATACTTTGTAAAGGCCTATACATTTTACTAATGGGCCCCTTACAGGAAAAGCCAGCGATTTCCAAAATAGCACTTCATGAAAACCTTCTATTCATAAAACACTGCAAAGCTACAAAGCAAAGTGAGTAGGTGCTACACTTGCTGTTGGTTGTTACAGAGACAGTGGTTCAGGTGCTTTGGGCCAGTGGGTGGTAGCCACTGTCTCCCTTCTCCCATTTTCCCAGAGCATCAAAGATGCAAGTACTGCCCTCACTTCCAGCAGAGAATGCGAGAATGCAAATCAGTGCACAGTGGATGAGAACCCCAAGTAATTGTGTATGAAAGAAAATCGGATTTGAAAACCTTGAGTTTAAAGGTAGAAGAGTCAGAGTATCAGTCTCCTTAGCTAGGTTACATTCTTTCAGGAATTAAACATTCACTAACCTGTCCATAATCAGCACATATTTGCTGAGCACGCACTTAGATACTCCAGGCACTGCTCCAGGTGCTGGAATAGAGAGAGACCAGCATATAGCCTTCTCCTTTCAGTGGATAAAATCAAGGGTACTCTAAAGCAGCGCCTTAACCTGACCCAAGGATGTGCCCAAGCAGCTTGGAACCCCCAGCTCCATTACCCATTACAGGAGAGAAAATGATGACAGATACAGACTTAAGCCCATTTGCACAACTGATCTCTGATCTGCTCTGACTGGAGGGGGGTCCTCCATCCAAGGCCAGGTCATCAGGCAGTGGCAGGGTTGGCGTGTGTGTGTGGAGCTGTGTATAAAACAGGTGATTTGGACTGCCCAGCCAGTATGAGTGCCTATTTGAGCTGGTCTTGAGTGATGCCAAGCTGCCCTTCTGCTGTACGATTTCTTCAAAGTGCTCAGCAGCCATCTAGAAATGGGACTGTACTGGGTTATGTAGTAAAAGAAAGGGTAAAAGAGCTTAAGACATCTGCAAGAGAGGTTGTGATAAGCGTGGTATTCGGGTCGTGAATGGATACAGAGGCATGCAGACACAAGAGGGGGATACGGTGAGAGAGTAGTAGAGTTGATAGAGCGGGAGGAGGAATATGGATTAGACTTGGTGGGTGAGCGGAAGGAGGAATATGGGCTTATAGACAGGAAAAACAGAACAGTTGCACGCTTTTTTTTTAGCCCAATAAAAACATCAGAAATTAATGGAATGAAAACTGAGTTTGCACCTGATAACTGCAATTATTTTAGAAACTTACAGGTATTTTAGTGAGAGAAAAAAAATTAAAGAATTTAAATGTATGAGAGGAGGTCCCAATTGAAAAGACCTTGACACGCACATTAACAGTTAAAGCAAGAAAAACCTTTATGATGAGTATTGATTGTCACTTCCCTCTAAGTCTGAATAACTGGACACACTTTTTTTTTTTTTTTTTTTTTTTTTTAAGCAGGGTCATTCAGCAATGAGGTTAGACATGATGAAAAGGCGCATTTTCAGGACTGCTACAGTAATGGCAGCATGACACAGATGAAGAGTTTTATCTGGCACTCAGCTGATGCCAATAGCCTGTCATGTGGAGGGAGGGCAGCCTCTGATCTCTCGAGGTCCTTGCCCTCCCTTTAAATCTTCCTCCTCAAGTTTGAGTTTGTTCGCTTGCAGGAGGCAATGTAACTGTTCACTGGGTCAGCTGACAAAGGCAGACACAGAAGTGCACTTTCCATTTCCTATCACCCTTATATTTTTTTGGTATCAATTTTCTTTTGTTTCTTTCTACAGTCTTGCTTCAGACTGAGGGCTTTAGAGCAGGCTCGGGTCAGGGCAAATTATAATGCTCTTCTGTTGAACATCACAGCTTCCATAATGCAGCCTTTATTGTGGGGAAGCAATGAGACAGCTTTGCTCACAGGGAATTCATGTTAGATTGGTAGGCTAAGGGGAGACCTGGGTAGAAATCATATTAGTCTCCACGCATGTATCGGGACCAGGATCCCGGTCAGGGCATCGCACTCTGCTGACACCCACTGTGGACAGGCTCCCTTTTATAATGTGATCATTTAGGGGAACACACAGCAGAGTGTATTACAGTACAAAGAAGGCATTGAAGCACCTGCAGACTGCCTGGGCCTCCGACTCTGCAGTAGGCATAAAGTTAAAGGGGGAAGGCTGGCGAGGGAGGGAGGGACAGATCCGGCCCCTTGTTTCTGAGTGCAAGTCAGAAACAGTCTATCACTGGTTTTACAGAACCAGCTTCCAAAATGCAACTTATTTTTTTTCTTTTGAAAACTCATATTTACAAGTTCATCTGGGTGGGAGCTGGGCCTTTGCCTTTGTGTTAAATTTGTTTTCAGGAATGCAGGCTTCTGCTGAAAGAGGGTTCTATGAAGGAGGGGAGCTTACCGCTCAGTTGCTGGGCTGTCGCCAGGCGGATAGGTTTCAAGATGAACTGGCACTGCATCTCTCGCGGCAGCTGTTCCATGAGGAAAGGCTCCTGGAGCTGGGACGGGGTGGCAGAGTCTTTTGTTCCCTGTGTCAGAAGGGCAGTGTCTCGGAGGTGGCTCATTTTAATTCCATAAGGATACTCGTGTCCTACAAAGAAGAAAATCCAAATGCAGACTTGAGGCTGACTGAGTACCACCACCAAGCGCTGCAAGCTGGAGTGTATTGAGATTTACACCTGGGGCGTCTGGGATAAAGAATCCTTTTGTTCACTGAGAGATCCACGTGCCCAGCCTGCAACTGGGGGCCCCTGCATATTGCAGGTGGCTCTACAAAATCTGAGTGGTTGTCTCACAGCGGTGGATGGGGGGGGGTATGAGAAAAGGAAAAAGAATCTTCAAAAGAATCCTTAGAATGAGTGGAGACATCAGTTTATGGATTGCATAATTGACTGCTAGATTTGCATCTAAGAATATTTAAGGGTATCTGAAAAGAGGGACAAAGAAGCTTATCTGGATAGGATCACTAGAGCCCAGCTACTGAGTGGTGACCCGCCCGGGCATAGGACCTTCTTCAACAAAAGTTTGCATTCCTGAACACAAGCTTAGTACAAAGGTTTGGTAGCTCATGCCTGAAATCTCAACATTTGGGAAGCTGAGACAGGAGAATTGCTGTGAGTTTGAGGCAAGCCTGGGTGCAAACTATACTGAGTGTGAGATAGAACCTGGGCTAAAGAGTCTATGCCTCAATACCACCCCCTCCAAAAAAAAAAAAAATCTCCCAAAGATTCACCCTGTTATCTAGCACATCTGTGTAAGAGACGTTAACCTACTGCTGGTTGTGTAAGTTCACCAGTGGTAAACTAGGTGTGGTTTGCCCTGGTTGCTTCTCTGAGGTTGGTGTTCATAGGCAACAGTGAAAAGAAAACTGTGGTGGGTGTAGAATAAAGGTATAGGCACAACAGAAGACTGACAGACTAAATCCTGGACATCTGATGATGCTTAGCACTCCAGGTAAACTCATCAGTGTGATGTAACCCTTTGATCCTGCCATGCTGCAGATCCTTTAGGGAAAGATGGCATATTTACACTTACACTCACTGATGCAACTCAGCAAACCCCTCCTGTGCACTTGACACAGGCATCCAAGGCAAATGTGTTACTGACATTTATACAGTACAGAAGTCTCCGAAGGTTAAGGCAGGAAGGCCCCCATAACAGCAATGAAACAAAACTAACCTGTGTATAAACAATGGCCAGATAATCCACAATGCTTTGCAGATGAGAAGATTTTAATTACATAGTCTAGAGTTGTAGCACTGGATTTAGTTTAAGGTGGCTCCAGGCCTAAAAAAGTTACCATGTCCTTAGTTTGCTAACTTATTAAAATCATTTTAAATAGTTATGTTATTGTTAAATGCCATTTTATTGTTGCCTATTCACCTTTGTGTAAGGGACAACATTTAAAAGCACGCCTTGAAATACTCGGTCACCCCAAGAATGACCTCGCTGACAAAGGACTCCCGAAATGATGCATACCAAACATGCTGTGCACAACCCAGCAGGCCAGCAGCGCTTGAAAGCCGCTACCAAATTACTGCTGTGGCTACCACTTTGGAATCTGTCATGGACACCAGAACTTATTTTAATTGCCCTATTTTTGTTAATTAGAGTGAAATTCCTAGCCAATAAATATTTAAATAAATAGTTGAAATAAAGTGAATCATAATCTACTTCTCAATAATTCATCAGAATAGTGGGAATTTGAATATCAGTCCAGGCCAGCCCGTATTACACAGGGCGACATTGTCTCACAGGCCGGAATAAAAAAAAAAAAAAAAAAAAGAATCCTAAGAACAAATGGAAATTTGGCCTATACAAATAGTAAAAGAGATTACTAGTCAGTTGGTAAATCAGTCAGGGGAGGCTTTTAGGAGTCAAAATGGGTTAATGTCACTTCGTTTGTGATGCTAAGGGAATTCTGGGACAGAGCAGATGTCACATGCTCAGGGATGGGTGACAGTGCCCATACTGTACCATACACAATACTATGTGTATAGAGGCAGCCTTGTCAGTAGCGCAGTGGGTAGGAAAGACAACAGTCATCTAAAGACACTGAAATCCAATGTGTGCAGCAAAAGGAATTCCAATGCACGCTGCTCTCTCATGGGTGGGGGGAACCCTACAGAAGGCTTGGTAACATCTGCTCGAACAGTAAAAAAGCCAAGAGGAAAATGTATGTTTCCCAGCACTCATCATTAGCATCCTGAGAGAAAAGATTCCACTCTCTAGTTCAGAGTAAACGCTTGATATAGTAACATTTAGGCTTAAGATTGGAGAGCCAAAGGAACACGATGCTGTCTTAGCCTCTGACAGACACTCACCAATGAGTGGGTACGGTGCCGCTTCTTTTCCAGAATTCACCCACAGCTGGTAATCTCTTTCAGAGCCCTTGAGATAAAGAATTGAAAATCAAAACAGATCTTTCATGTTAGGTACTTGAATGAGGAGAGAGTTGGGGGCATTTCATGCTAATTTAGATTCCTCGGCACAGATGGTTTGTAGTAGCGCTTATTCCCACAACCCAATCTTAGTCCAAAGCAAGATCCAACGCTCTTAGTCCTCCTGTTCCCACAGCCCCTGAGCTGACTGGGATCCATATTACTGCAATGGAATCAGACCCTTCCTATCAATGGCCCACAGAGTGTGAAAGACTAGGGTAGCCCTTTGACAAAGGAAGAATATACTTCCTGGTTCTAAAAGGCGGATCCCAACCTCTGAGATTCTCTGGTCTTCTCAGAGAATACTGGGCTTAGCATTCAACATGCCTCTGCAAGCCAACCTTCTTATCCAGACAGCCATAAACAGGACCGTCAATGGGACTATCACGGCAAGCCTCAGGGCCAGTCCATTAGCTCACTGGGCTCTGAGCAGAATGGCCCGAGGCTTTGTGGAGATGGATAGCTAGTTGAACTGACTTCACTGTGAGCAACTTCATCCAGTCTTTGGAACAGAAAGGATAAGAATTCTACTAGAGAATAGGCCCAGTCATGGAAAACAGTTAAAATCGTTCACTAGTCGAATTATCAACCCAACAGAACTATCAATTCCACTTGAAATACAAATTATGTGAACTTAGCCGGATCCTTGAGGAGGGACAAGGCAACATTCTTATAGGCAGCTCTAACAGAGATAGTCAAGTCTGTTGGAAGCACTTCACTGCCTGCCTGCAGGGCCCTGACTATTACTGTGCACGTCACACGGGTCACCCCTGGACACAAGTGCATGCACATACAGATCATCTCATCTCCTTCTTGTCCTTCAGGCAGAGGAGAAGCAACCTAATAAAAACACATTTTGGGCAGTGTCAGAGACATTATAAGGTATCTCTTAGCATGGGTGTCATCAAATAGTCTCAATTACTAATTACATTATTTATTTATTTATTTATTTATTTATTTGCCTGAGCAGATCAGAATTTAAAGGAGAAATCTAAGAAAATGCATCACTAGGTAATTAATCTCCCTTCCTAACCTAAAAACATCTACTCTTTTCCAAGGTATGTTTGTGTAGGTTAGAAACCATTGCAGAAATATCCACTTTACTCAGGGCATATAAAACTGAATTATACTTTAACCATATTACTAAGTTTTACTAATTAGCTTATTTTATGGCAAATTTTGGCTGCCTTGAGGCTTAGTAGCACTTCGCAAGAGCAAATCTATATACACAGGTGATATTATGACATCTTAGGTGTATCATGTCACAGCATAGTTTTAAATAACTATTATATTTACTGTGTGTGCACACATATGCGAGCTCGCACAGGCACTAGAGCACCGTGCCAGAAAACATGTGGAGGTCAGAGGAAAGCTTCTGGGTGAGTTCTCTCTCCATAACAGGTGGATCTTAGGGATGGAACTTCGGTTATCAGGCTTGGCAGCAAGCACCTCTACAGCAGAGCTATCTTGGTGGCTTACATCTAGTGTGTTTAAAGAGAATGTCACAAATGTTTTTCTTAGCTTCCATTCTTCTGAAGGCTCCCAGTTAAAAGAACCCTTCGTGGGGGTACTAGCAGGAAGGCAAAGAGAGAAGCCTTCCAGTTCTTTTCCTCCGACCTCCTTCTCAATATTCTAATCGTTTCTACTATCATTTCACAGACTCACCCCAGGAAACGAAGGGTCAGGTTAAAAGCAAGACCGACTGACATGGTGAGCAGAGTAAGGCTCTTCAAATCCATGACAGAGTTCTAGTTTAACCATTACGGTTTTCAGGCCACAGAGGTGTTAACAGAACAGCACCCATATGTCATGCTAGCATAAAAGCTTTCCTGTTGTCTACATTTTGGGGAGCAAAGGTAACTTTGTTACTGATTGTGTGTGGTGGAAGGGATGATATGCTTACATCTAAATTACTAAATATTATTTTGAATATAAAATGCCAAAGTTTAAAGAGTCTCTAAGTGGCAGAGGCAAAGGAATCCCATGTTCAAGGCCTGCCTGGCCTGCACAGCAGGACCATGTTTCAGAAAGGAAACAATATAGCGGAAGTAACTTACAGTTATCCCTAGCATTTGAAGTGACATGTTGATAACTTCACTCGCTGTGTCTGAATTCATCACTGTTATAGTTTTAAACTGTAGGGAAACAAATAAAAAATACGACATAAATCAACAGTTTAAAAATAGTGAGCAAATCATTGTCAGGTGATTAACCAAATGTGAATGTTGATCTCAAGTATGGACAGAGTGGAGCACAAACTCCCCACCCCCCAATAGGAATCCCTTTTGTTCTGATATGTTATAGCCATGAACAGTTCATTCCTTTCTTTTAAAGAATGGATAGCCCACAAACTAAAAAATGCTTCGGAAAGCGAGCAAGAGGGTGCAAATCCCATTTCCGGTCAATCACAAACACACACACCAGCAAGGCTCTTCCTTTGTTCTGTTTCTACAGAGTGTTTCTGTAACCCATTGGGAATGGTGGTAGAGGCAGAGCTGGCCCTTGTTCTGTTGAGTGCTGTTCTCATAGCACCGCTTCATTTCTTTGAGTGGTGGTGTGCAATCAGTTAAGGAGAGACCAGAATAGGAACTGCTTACTAAAAGGAGTTAAGGCTTGCCAGTAAGAGCTTCCTAAGCGTTCAGCCCTGGAGCTCCTGGGATTGTCGGTGCTGTAGTCCTTCGATGGCTTAAAATAGATGAGTCTAGCAGAAGAGTGACAGTTCTAGAAAGCCTCATTCTGCCAACTGGATAGGGACATATATAATAGTTCTCTACTACCTATATTGCAAGTTGCTCGTAAGAACAGCGAAGATGAAAGAAACTGATGAGAGTCTGAGTATCTGGAGAGTGCAATAAATGGCGGGCTACTGAGGCAAAACTTGGCTATGCACATAAGTCCACATGATAATTCTTAGAAAAGCTAGCAATTAGTGCTCTGCCCCAGACACAAGGCTGGCTGACAGGGTACACATAGTTTCATAAATGATAACAAAGTAACATGAAGGAAAAAGTGCAGACTCAGTGATATTTATCACTTGTTTGTCTTCTACAGATTTTTCTCCTATAAGCCAATTACTTGATAGGACAAACTTAATTGAACTAACTTGTGAGATGCATATACACTGACTTCATGAGTTTCTTGTACTCCCAAGGAGTAGATTAAAAGGTCTCAGAGCCCAACAGGGAGGGCATGAAAGGCCCAAAGTCTGTTATCTACTAGTGTGGCATAAAAAAAACAAAACAATACAAGGCAGGCTTCTATCTAAAGCAGGCCCTTAGAAAGGCTCTGCTGGTCCCCATCCCAAGTTAGAAAGTCAATACATTCAATTTAAGAAACACTGCCGTGAATTTGTTTGTAAAGCAAAGTGTCCATGTTCCTATACTTAGTTTCCAAGGCGATTGTTTGCACATTGGACACATACATGCTTGGCACTGTAGTTTCAGAAGTATGTCTCCCTGCAAACCTTTCTAGGGGACAGAACAAATGAGTTTCAGCACATAGTGCTTCTTGCCTAGAGAAAAATGGAGCACACATAACTAAAAACACGTTGAGTTTAGCAGACTTCACCAACAAGCTGCACACAACTTTAAGGCTGAGGATAAAAGAATTACTTCCCAAGATGCCATCCTATTTGGGGAGTTACTCTAGAAGCTCAGGTCCCTGGAGAGACTGCACCACTGAAGCGCCCCCAGGAAAAACTCCAGTGTGTCACTGTACCCATGTACTTTACCCATGACTGTATCTCACATCTTTTCTTCAAAACTGAGTGGGACATGAGATTTTTACAATTTTTAATTTTTTAACTTTTACTAATTACACTTTATTCACTTTGTATCCCCCAATAAACCCCTCCCTCCTCCCTTCCTAATCCCACCTTCTCTCCCCCTTCTTCACGCATGCCCCTCCCCAAGTCCACTGATAGGGGAGGTCCTCCTCTCCTTCCTTCTGATCCTAGTCTATCAGGTTTCATCAAGACTGGCTGCATTGTTTTCCTCTGTGGACTGGTAAGGCTGACCCCCCCCCCCAACACAAACACACAGGGGGAAGTATCAGAGAGACTGTCATTGAGATCATGCCAGAGACAGCCCCTGTTCCCCTTACTAGGGAACCCACTTGGATACTGAGTGTATGGGCTACATCTGAGCCTGGGTTTTAGATCCTTTCCATGCATTGTCCTTGGTTGGGCTATCAGTTTTTTTTGCTCTGCTGTTGCTCCTGTCACACTTCTTTCATAAGATTCCCTGTACTCTACCCAAAGTTTGGTTATGAGTCTCAGCATCTGCTTTGATACCTAGCTGGGTAGAGTCTTTCAGAGGCCCTCTGTGGTAGGCTCCTGTTCTTTTCCGTGTTTTGCTTCTTCTGGTGTCTATCCCATTTGCCTTTCTGAATGAGAGTTGAGCATTCTACCCAGGGCCCTCCTTCTTGCTTAGTTTCTTTAGGTGTACAGATTTTAGCATGATATCCTATATTATATGTCTAATATCCACTTACAAGTGAGTATATACCATGTGTGTCTTTCTGCTTCTGGGATACCTCACTCAGGAAGATCTTTTCTAGATCCCACCATTTGCCTGCAAATTTCATGATTTCCTTGTTTTTAACTGCTGAGTACTATTCCATTGTATAAGTGTACCACAATTTCTGTATCCATTCCTCCACTGAGGGACACCTGGCTTTCTTCCAGATTCTGGCTATTACGAATAAAGCTGCTACAAACATAGTTGAGCAAATGTCCTTCTTGTGTACTTGAGCATATTTTGGATATATGCTTAGGAGTGGTATAGCTGGATCTTGAGGAAGCACTATTCCTACTTGTCTGAGAAAGCACCAGATTGATATCCAAAGTGGTTGTACAAGTTTACATTCCCACCAGCAATGGAGGAGGGTTCCCCTTTCTCCACATCCTCTCCAGCATGTGTTGTCATTTGAGTTTTTGATCTTAGCCATTCTGATGGGTGTAAGGTGAAATCTCAGAGTTGTTTTGATTTGCAGTTCCCTGATGACTAAGGATGTGGAGCATTTCTTTAAGTGTTTCTCTGCCATTTCATATTCCTCTATTGAGAATTCTCTCTTTAGCTCTGTACCCCATTTTTAATTGGATTACTTGATTTTTTGCTGTTTAACTTCTTGAGTTTTATTTAAACATGTATTTCCCATACATTAAAGTGATAAAAATTGGAAAATTTCATGAAAATCCTTAATATAATCAATCCAAGCAAAGCAAGCAGAAATGCAGTAGCCTTGTTTATTTTTTTTTATTTTTATTTTTTTCTATTTTACTGGAGGAAATCTAGGTAATTTCTCAGCCAAAAAGTTTGCGTTTACATTTCCTTCACGCAGTGAGATCTGGCCTTTAAGACTTGGTCAGAATGTATGTGTAACTTTTTTTTTTTTTTTTAAGGAAACCAGAAGTCTCATGAACTATATTTGCATGCACACAGTGGCTATTACTGGGAGCCGCTGTGAGGTATTACAGCCTGCAGCCTCATGAAGGCAAGTTCCCACCCTCTACATGATTGACAATAGCTCAGCTCTTATGCTACAATTTCAGCCAGGAGAGAACACATACCTGAGGCTAAGGACTTACTGTTTACCATAGAGACATGGTGATTCTTAGATAATATCCTCTCTTTTGGATCTATTATTTAATCTCAGGGATTTAATTCATAAGAACTCAAAGCATGAAACACTTTCCAAATTGCCTGAAGTGACAATTTGGGGAGAACTACCTAATATCAATAGCAAATTCCTCCTCATGGCTTCACCATAAGCTTCTGCAGCTGTTCTTGGAAGGACCCAGACAAGTATCCATGCCATGAGAAGAGATTTCTGACAAGCTCTGTTCTATCCAGGGGTACATGCTAAATACCGCAGTTCATATGAATTTCCCTTGTCTCATTTTCTCTAGCATTTGCTTTTCATGCATAGAAGGATACACATAAGTTCACTCTTCCCCCACCATGGTACCTCTAAAGGCCTGGCTTCTGTAGCACGCACACACACACACACACACACACACACACACACACACACACGTAGCTTGTCAGCCTGTCTCTCCTTTTTCATCCACAGTGTTTTCTCTCTTATTCAGGGACCTGGCTCAGAAACACTTACATAGGCACAATTCCCAATGTCCTTGGCGAAGATTTTGAGGGGGATGCTCTTCGGGTAGTCCTTCTCTTTTTCTAGAGTGATGTATCTGATCGAATGCAACAACAACCCAACCCAACACAGAGTTAGATGGGATTCACTAATGGTCATTAAAAAATATCAACCTATTTTGATAATATTGTCAGTATACTTATATACTCTCTCTTTTTCTTTTTCTTTTTTAAAGACACTTGAAAGATAGCACAATCAGATTATATGATAGGTTGAAAGAGAATCCCTCCCCATCCCCCAAAATGGGACATCCATGTCAAATGATGTTGGAGGTGGGACCAGGTGAAGGTGCCCGTGAGGGATGGTCTGTCCTTATGGCCTTCCTCTCCCCTCAGAACAGGTCTTCTACTTTGCTGGTGAGTACCTGACTACATACAAGGAATTCACTCTCATTTAGCTGCTTGGCACGGTGTAAATCTGAATCATTCCATGGGGGAAGAAGAGAGGAAAGAAAGGAGGGAAGAACTCTGCCATTAATTCACAAACCCATATTGACCTTTTTATTCGGTGCAGTCAATGATAGAGATAATAACCAATTTTTTCAGGTGCTCTGAATAAAACCTTGCAATTATGAGCACGATGGAGAAATGACTAGCTTATAGTTTGGAGGTATCAGAGAGAGAAGACATCGGTGATTCTATTGTAAGCTATCAAACCTCAGTGTTCTCCTTTCAGAAGTACTTGTAGTGAGAGAATATTATTTTCACTGTGTTCTAGCTGGTGTACCATCCGAACAATAGGTGATTTTTAGCAGACAAATGTCAATTTCCATTAAAGAGCAGAAGGGCCATTCCCAGGGCACATTTCTGCAGTACCATGTTTGGTTTAATCACAGGTTAAAAATAACATTAAAAGTATGTGAACTGAAAAAGTACCTCTGAAGGAGAGAGAGCCATTTGTCCTTTTGTTCTGGAGAACTGCAATCAAAGAAAATGGAAGAGAAATAAGCCATATAAAATATTGACGCCAGCATTTTAAAGCCTGCCCATTCAGGTGACGACATGAACAGCCTGCCGTTGTGAACGGAGCTGTACATGGACACTGTGAGCTTTATACAACTGCTTAGAAGATGCTACAGGTATTTAGGTCCCCGTGGAAAGGTCACATGATCCAGGATTGGTTGCTTTATTAAATCCACTTAGGTGAATCCAAGGCATCTTCTTTTAATATGCTGGTATTATTTCACCAATAGTACTGGGTCAGAGGGGAGGGAGGTTGTTTTAGTGGAAAGAATACCTCATTTGGAAACAAAATATTTAGTTTCAGAATTGCATGCAAGTGAGATAATCACTGGTAAGCCACTTATCCGAAGCTGCAGTTTTCGTACCTGTAAAACTGGGTTAATTATTCTCTCCCAGCGCTTTTTTTTCCCCCAGCTTAAACTGTCATTCATTAAAACAGAAAGTATGCTTAATATTGGGATCAAAGCAAGATTTGGCAGATAGATGAAAATGCCTTGGCCCAGAAACCAGTCTGTTGTCAGGAAAAGAAACTTTTTTTTCTATCTCATATACACAAGGCAAAATAGTAAGTTAGTAGATTTGCTCAAAACAAATTTATTTTAATTATGAAAACATTCTGATTAATATGAAAGTACGTACAGTTAAATATTGTGTTCTACTGCCACTGTTGGATTGTTAAAAATTCATCTAATTTATTCTTATATGATCTTGTAAGTCACAAACTTTAAAAATAGCATTTTTAATCTCTGTATAAAAGTTGAAAAATTTTCTTTTTCCGGAAAATAATGTTTAATATATATTTGTAATCAGTTTTAATTTTGTTGCTTAACTATCTCCACATAGTTTTTCAGGGTCGGTAATCAGAAAGTATGTTATACATTATTTTATTTTGGAACATAAAATTTCCATAGCTAACAATTCCTTGCCATCTTTCTTTTAGTTTTTTATTTAAAAACTTTATTTGTGTATGCTTGTGGGAATATATGCCATGTGTATGTGGGTGCCCACAGAAGCTAGAAAAGGCTGTTGGATCCCCTGGAACACTAGTTATAAATAGTTGTGACCCACCTGACCTGGGTGCTGGGAACTGAACTCAGGTCCTCTAGAAGAAACAGCAAGTGTTCTTCACCGCTGAGCCACATCTCCAGCCTCTTGTTTTGTGTACCCCCAACCCCGAAGATTTTCTAGATTCAGTTACATAAAATCTTGATGCAGAAGAAAGAAGTGTTCTAGCACCTGTATTGTGAAATCAAAAGTCCCCTTGTGCCCCACTTGTGGCCTTGATACTCACAGTCCTGCTTTCCAATGGTACAGGATGGGGCCATGTAAATTATACAGTGAAGTGTGAATTATTCTGTGGTGTGTCTTCTTTTATCCCAGTACCTGTGGCTGACTCAGACTGTACTCGGCTTCTTAATTCCACAGGGACGGGGAGGTTTTGTGAATTTTAGTTGTTTGCCACCAGGACAAGCTAGAGCCTTAGAAAACCCTTAAAAAGCTAGAGCATGATGGCACCTTCTTCCTAGTGTTAATGTCTCTCTAAAATCTCCCAGAACCCTCAGGTAGTTGCTGATATTTGTGTTTTGCTTAGAACCTTGAGCAGTTTATCTATCCCGCAGTCAGTCTGTTAAGATTGAACTTTTTTTTTTTTTTTTTATGCCAGAGGCAGAACTCCTCAATAATTTACTTTTTAAAAAAATGATACTTAATTTTGGAAAAAAAAATTGTTTCCAGAAAAGTTATATACAGATAAGAGTAAATTCCTGAAATTTCCCAGCCAGTTGCAGCCTCTGTACTGTTCTCTCTCAGGTACAGCCCAGCTGTCAAAACCAGGAAATGCTGGTATTGACTAATAACTAAACTCTTGAATTTTTTTTTTTTCAGACTTCATCAATTATCTGGAAGAAACTTCTTTCTGTTCTGTTCAGGGCCACACAAGGCATTTAGGGGCCTGTCTCCTTAGGAGGTGTACAGGAATTTCTCAGTCCGTGCTTTGGCGGTTGTGAGGAGTAGTGGTTAGGGAGTGTGTAGCCCTGGCCTCGGATTGACAGGTGTTTATGATTAGAGTGATGGTGAGTAAATACTATAGAAGTTAACTGCTCTTATCACCGTATGTTGAGACGTGCATGGCGCCTACATGGCCCTGCTGGGCATATTAACCTTCACCGAGTGGTGGAAGAACCATGCTTTGCTCAAGCACAGGGGCTCATGTCTCAGCCTCTTCAAAAGGTGGAGACTTTTGGTAACACGCGGTCACCCTCATGTGTGGAACCGCTGCCCGTTACCAAGCGGATTAAACATCGGGAATCGGTCACGGAAAGAAGAAGTACAGAGAGTGACAAAAATGTTCTTCCAAACAGTGCCACAACAGGTCCACAGTCACAACAGGATAGATCATGTGGCATGCCTGCTCTTTATTTACAGACCAACACTTTACCAGTCTGGCTTCAGAAGGACGCCCGAGTAGTTTGGTGGTAAAGCAGGAAGAAGCAGAAAAGCTTCGTGTGTGTGAGAGATAAACACTTAAATCTATAAAGTGAAAATCAACATGGAGTTGGGGTAGTCATTCAAAATCACAGGTATGCGTTTTCAACAGCTCACGCTGAGCCTGAGAGCCAAATAACTATGTCGGGCTGAAAAACACACATTCTGTACTCATGCATTTTCTAAACGTGTACCAGCCTACGGATGAGTCTTTGGACACTCGTGTCCACCCTGTGACATAATAATCTCTATAGATAGCAAAGCAGAACTTAGCACACAAAGTTCTTTGACACATTACCTGTGCAACAAAAAGCTCTAGTTCATCAACTAGAAGGTTGGTGGTTTTCTGTGGTTTGTAAGAACTGATCATACTTGAAATCTCAATATTTCAAACACACTCCTAGACATTAAGAATGGAAGGGTTCCCAGACAGATCACCCAGTTCTACTTCTGTCATCTCATAAATTGTTTTCCTTCTAATTTTTTCCATAAACCCTTTTTAAAAACCACCGTCTAACCCAAGGTGAATTTCTCTTTGAATTCCCAACATTTATCACGAATTTTTATATATTTTAATCTAATAATGGTCTTCAGATGAAAAGTCAACCATTTGAAGGTTTTTATTGGCGAAGGAAAAATTACTCAATACCTATCTACAGCAGAATATTTTCCTTAAAAATTAGGCATGAAATTGGCGAGACCACATTTCTCTGTCCTAGACATGGCTATAGTAGCTAACCCAGATGAACCCGGGACAAACCATAGCTCTTACCTGAAAGTGGCCACAAAGTTCACTGTGGGCCAGCCCAGGACAAAGGACCTCGGCGCGTGCATGTCGCCTTCTCCCACTTCATCCACACAGCTTGCTGTCCACATGTCAGCTAACTTTATTTTATTTTTTATCTTAAAATTGTTGTTATATCTAGCGAGATAGAAATAAAAACGGGTGCTCATGTTATTTTGTTTCTTTCGTTTTCTAGGCGGTTCTGCATTTGTCACGAGAGTGCAGTTTCCACTCATTATGGACAAAGAAGGTCTTATTGTTCCCATCTCCAGTTTCTGAAACAGCAGCTTATAATTTGGGCAAGTTTAGTTCTTATGACTGCATTAATGGCAGCAAATATCTATATGTTGAATGACCTATATGTTGAATACTACTTTGGGATCAAAACCCAACTTAGATTTATCTCTGTGGTAAAAGAGATATAACTTGCTTACTTTCAAAATTATTTCAGTGGATATACATAATGACATGATTTATAAATTGTTAAGTACTTCCATCTTAGGAGACACTGAAAATGAGCCTAGAATTAGAGAAATCTATAATAAAATTTCAATAGAATGTTAAATGTTAAGGTAATTTATGTTTCTAAAGCCACGAAGTCTTAAGAGTTTTTTTCTGAAACATTTTTAGTATATTCTTAAACACTGAACAATTGTAACCTGAAAACAAAATCTAAACTAGAAAAGTACTACAACAAAACAAACAAACCAAAACAGAGACTGGTGCTAACATAGTTAGTGTTCAGCTCTGGGGACCTAGAAGGCACACAACCTTCAGTTGGCTGTGACTGCTTTTCAGCAACTTCTTCCTCATCTTCCTTAGACCCTTACTATGGAAATACAATATAGTTAATACTCCTGAGAGTTCTGAGACGTAAGTAGTTAGAAGGCACTGTGAACTCTGAAGAGAATGCCCGGGGAAATGAATTTCCTAGCATTCAAACCATTTGGGTAAATAAAAGCTGCAGTGAAATCCAAGGTACAGCACATGAACAGGAACCCCTAAACTCATCCACTACAGAGAATATAAAGCCCAAGTGAGATTTATACTATGACTAAGGACATTGAAGGGGTGACGCACAAGGGGGACTAAGTACTGAAGACTAAGAGCGACACTCCGTTATTTTGGCAAGTTAAACCATCTGGCTTCCACCCTGACCCTTCACCCAGGGCTGAGCAGTTAGAGTAGCCAAAGGTTTGGCACAGCAGGGAGTTCCTCATATAGACTCAGCCAAGTACTAACATTATAATGTTGGAGCGCCATTTCAATTTCATGTTTGCAGTGAGGGAAATACTCAACTCAAGATGGTTTTGAAAATTAAGGTCTTTAGGTTAATTACTGACAGTTAAGTGCTATCAAATGTTTCACTCTTATTGCCACAAGCATACCTCTCAGATTAAATGGAGTTTCGCTACATCAATATCCGGCTCTGCCCAGTCTTACTTTTGACATAGCATAACTTAGTGTAGGTTTAACAAGTGTTTGCTTTTTCTTTTTTTCCTAGTGACTGAAAATCACTTTGCAGAGAAAATCTGTTAAAGCAGTCTGATCCTTCATGATGTTTTATAAATAACAAGAAAGCAGAATGGAGCACGCATCGCAGCCACCACCTTCTGTGTTAACTGCACTGATAGCTCGTGCTGAATGGAAAGTCGGTCTTCTTGTATACCTCTAAGGTGTATCCCCAACATCCCCATAAGTCTGCAATCTTAGCCCTACTGCCATTTTCCCCAGGTAAAGCTCCCAAGGCCACCAGAGCAACCTCCCGTGTACTCTCCTTGTTTTTGCTTTTGCTTCTCCTACAACCCATTCTTTATAGTGAATAAATACTTTAAAAAAATATGTATCACATTGTGGCATTCCCCAACTGAGTCTAAAGGTTAAATTCCAAACTCTCTAGTATAGCTTAGTGACTCCATGCTTCCAAAGCATCCCTCAGTGCTCTCTGCCTCCTGATGCACCACTGTGAAGTCCTCTTTCATACCGTACCCAGGTTGGTCTGTGTAGCCAATAGCACAGGTCAGAAGTGATGGTATTTTCACTTCCGAAAGACTTTTCACCATGAGGGAAGCAGGTACCATGCTATGAGGAGTACTATGATGGAGATCAAATGAGGGGAAACGAATGTCTCTGGCCAATATCCAGTGAGAAACGGATGCTGCCAGCTTGCAAGTGGATCCTCCAGCCAAGCCCCAGGGTCACGAGGGTCCTCGCGCCACAGCCGTCCACTTAAATAGTCCCGAGTCCTGATACAAACTGCAGCAGATGCTGGTAGCTTTTGAACTGCTGTGTTTTAGAGGAATCTGTTATTTAGCTCATCCTGTCTTTAATGGTTAGTTGCTTTTCATCCTTTACTGATTCTTTACACCAACTACATAGATGACACCCCCTCCCCCCCGCCGCCCCTTATCTTTTATTTCCTACTCCAGCACCTAAGTTTTGCTCCTGGTGTTGGTCACTACCTGTAACCCCTCGTATAAAGATGCAAGTTCCCACATCCCATCCTGTAAGAATGCAGGCTTCAGAGAAGCAGGGGTTAGACCTGTCACATTCTTCACCATCCCTCCTATATTTACTCAGGTCATGGAGCAAACAGGAACCTAAGTTAACACTTTAATAAACAACTAAAAAAAAAAAAAAAAAAGAACCCTCAAGTATCTCATTTATGATATTAGCTACAGGAGCTGGAGAATTGGCTCAGTGGTTAAGAACGCTGGCTGCTCTGCCAGAGGACCCAGCTTCAACTCTGCACATGTTAGCTCACAACCATCCACAACTCCAGTTCAGGGGTGGGGCGGGGAGGGAACCTGACGCCCTCTTCTGGCTTTCGTGGGCACTGCATGCATGTGGCAAAAAAAAAAAAAACCAAAAAACAAAAAACAAAACATCCAGATACATAAGAACATGATTAAAGCTTCATAAAATATGCTAGTCGTTTAATGCAGACCAAACATAATTATAGTAAGCAGCAAATAGAGAACGTGGACTTTGCTAGAGGAAATTCAACTTTCCAACGATTATTCAGTGTATACAATTTACTTACTTGATTTTGGCTGCGACAAACAGATCATTGAATAGGAAAAGGTGCCTCTCCTGCCTCTGCAGGCCTCTTTTAAGTTCCACTGGGCCATCAATCAGCAGAGTTCTACTGGAGCACATGAATGATGACAGAAATGCACACGTGTCAATGCTAGCAGAATGACTGTCTCTGAAACAGACCACATGCAGCAAATCCGTCAGTCAAATGCTCAACCACAAGACAAAGACTTCTAACGTTGAAACTGACAGTCATTTTAAGAATGTGGGACTCAAGGGCTCTTTTTTAAGGCAGCAGCTCAGTGTCTTTACTGTTCTCCCTGCTGATACTTCTGATTCTTCACACAGAAGTCTCTCAGAAATTCATTATGAAGAAAATCTTTAACAAAATTGAAACACCTTTACAAAAAATACATGTACAATCTGACCTAGACTAATGTTTTATCACACTGGGTCATCATATTCCTAATCCAACTGTCTTTCTATGGGTTCATTAATTCATTTCCTCTTTGGCATTTAAGTATTAACCACTTTGGGGGCACAATACTTAGAGCCCAATATTTACTTAGGAGTTGTCTCATAATTAAAACGTATACAACAAAATGCATAAGACCAAATCATCAGTGTTTATACACTAAGCTTTGACAAATGTATTCACCTGTAAAGTCTGAACTCCTCAACTAAGATACAGAAAATCATCACTACAAAAAGGTCATCCTTTTCAGCCATTATTTGGGTGCCATGAATTGATCCCTGGGTGGTTTCATTCTACTACAGGTTGAGGCTGATGCCAAGTTCATTTTTTTTTTTATACAATCAACGGTGTAAAAATTATCCAGCACAAGCACATTTTAGTCGTTATTAGTCTGCCTGCTCTGTATACCCAGCATCTGTTAGCCAACACAGTCTTTTGTTATGAGAGCCCAATTTGCAACAGATCTCTCTGCCATGTTCCCAGCAACACCAACTGCATCTGTAGCCTCCAGACATTGCCTCCTCCCATACCCCTTTCCCCAGGAGTTCCCTCACCCTCTTCTGGATGATGTCTCCTTGCCATAAGCCAATCTCAGGATGTGAGGATGTCTTTATAACCCTCACGTTGTAGAATCAACCACAGGTAAAAGAGGTGAGGACATGGCCTAGCAATACTGTGCAAAACAAAGGAGCCTGCCTGGGCTACAGCTTGTTCTAAGCCTTGGTTTAAACATTTAAGTCTGAAACTTAGAAATGCGGGATAGCAGCCACTAACTTGAAACAACTTATTTGTTTGAGGTTAGCCTAGGCCAAGGGTTAATGTAGGTGTTTAGTGTTTAAAGCAAAGAATTTCCACACATAATAAAAGCTTTACCTCATAGGTAAAATACCTTCAAACACAATATGTTGGTACTGTTGGGAAGAACCCACAAAGAAACTGAAACAGTTTTCTGTGTAAATTCAGCAATACAAGTCTATGGTCTGTAATTTTAAAGATTTCTATGTATGACAAGAGATCGTCCAAGACCTTAGCAAGCTGAGCCTTGACTTAAAAAGAAATACATGTGGTAGCACATCTGAAGAAAAAAAATCACTCAGCACTCACATAATTAAAAACAACTTTTGTCTAAGGGGACACACACATAACTTTCGCATTTAAAAAAACTACCATCTTAGTTTTTTCTACTTAAAATGTATTATTAGACAGTGATGAAGTATTTGTTTTTGTTCTGTGCGCAAGAGAGATGTGATTATTTTAGTCTTTTATGGTATAGAAATGGGAGGGGGTAAGACCGTAGCCTTCTATTTAATCCTTAATATAGTGAATAGGATATACAAGTTACAATTAAGAGCGCTCTAAACTGATCTAACAAGTACAGCAAATGGTCTGAAAATTAGCCTGCTGAGATTTATGCATGAACATACCAGTTAGAAGAGTGTACGAAGCTATTTCTGAATGGCAAAGAAAAAACCTAAGTGTCACTGAAACCAGGTAACTTCCTTGAAACCTGGCCACAGTAATACTTTTTCCTTGGGCTTATGCTAAAAAACAGTTGGCTGTTAGATAAAGTTTGAGAGCTACAGTTGCTTCACACAAATCACAAAGGGCTCGGGCGCAAGTGTGAGGAACTAAGTCTGAACCTCTAGAACCCAGGGAAAGCTGGGTGTGGCAGAACACATCTGTAATGATGTACTCGCATAGTGAGATGGGGGCAGAGGCGGGACTGCCAGGCGCTCACTGGCCCACTGGCCTGTGTATGCACTGCAGAGGTAAGCAATAATGACCATGCCTCAGGCAGAAAGGACAGACACCCGTGGTTGTCCTCTGGCTTCCACGTAACACTGTACCATCTGGTCACCACCAACCCCACACCCCCAAAACAAGGTGCTATAAAATAAAACAAAACTGCCAAGCTCTTTTTTTGGAAATACCTCTGTTCAATATACTAAATAGTCAATATACTAAATAGGATCCATTCGACCTCAAGTCCTGGTACACTAGTGTAGTTACTTTTCAATAATTACGGAATGCAATCTACTTCTTCAAAAATTTTTACCTAACTCATAGCTCACTCCAAATGTCATGTCTCCTTTTAAATCAGTCTATGCTTGCTATCTTTTGCATGACATATATTCAGTTCTCTTATTTCTTCAAAATTCTCATTCAGCATTAATTGTGAATACCATGCAATACATATAATAGTGCTAAAGTTTGCTTTGCTGGGTACCTGCCATGTTCATTCATGGAAGACAGATCCCATCCCTGACTCAAGAAGTCAGCAATCCCATAGAAGAATCAGACAAATAAAACAATGAGAAATCAGTAACCTGACAGACACACAGCGTACTGAGGCCCAGCAAAGCTATGACCTTAATCTGAGCCTGGATGGGTTAGGACAACTTCTTTGAGGACCCAGAGTATTCAAGAATGGGCAGACAGATCAATAAACACTGAGGGGCACACCAAGGAAAGGATGTGTGCCATGAAGACCACGTGGTCTACTAACAGGGACTTTAAGGAAGGATTGGATTACAGGACTTGGGTAGCATATTTTCCCAATTTATAAGAATCTTAGACATTACGTCAAAGCATTAAGGGCTTTTAGGGCAGGGTGCTGTGTCTGTAACATATTGAAGAAAACAGAGTAGGGCAGCTTAGGGAGAGGGAAACCATTAGGAAGCTGCCACAGGAACCTCAGGTAAGAAATGCACATTCAGCAACAAGGAGAAAAAGGATGGAAGAAACTCATTTGAAACTGAAAAGTTTCTGTAAGGTGAAGGACATGGTCAACAGAACAGAACAGCAAACTACAGACTGGAAAAAGATCTTCACCAACCCTACTTCTGACAAAGGGCTCATATTTATAACATACAAAGAACTCCAGAAATTAAACACTAACAAACAAAACAATTCAATTAAAAAATGGGGTACAGAGCTAAACATAGAATTCTTAACAGAGGAATCTTAAATAGCTGAGAAGCACTTAAAAAAATGCTCAATGCCATTAATCATCAGGGAAATGCAAATCAAAACGACTGACTCTGAGATTCCATCTTACACCTATCAGAATTGCTAAAATCAAAAACTCAAGTGACAGTACATGTTGCAGAGGATGTGGAAAAGAGGAACACTCCTCCATTACTTGTGGGTGTGCAAATTTGCACAAGCACTTTTGAAATCAATCTGGAGATTTCTCAGAAAATTTGGAACAGCCCTGCCTCAAGACCTAGCCATACCATTCCTGGGTACATACCTAAAAGACGCTCTATCATACAACAAGGACATTTACTCAGCTATGTTTGTAGCAGCTTTATTCATGATAGCCAGAATCTGGAAACAACCCAGATGTCCCTCAACCGAAGAATGGATAAAGAAAATGTGGTAAGTTACACAATGAAATACTACTCAGCTATTAAAAACAAGGAAATCATGAAGTGTGTAGGCAAATGGATGGAACTAGAAAAGACTATTCTGAGGTAAACCAGACCCTAAAAGACACACATGGTACGTACTCACTTAAAAGTAGATATTAGCTTGTAGGAAAACCACCCTACAATTCACAGACCCAAAGGCACTAAGTATCAGGGAGGGCCCAAGGGAGCATGCTTGAGTCTGACTCAGAAGGGGAAATAGAATAGGCAGCATCAGTAGTTAAAGAGACAGAACAGGAGAGGAGAGGGAATATGGAGGAACACAAGGGTAGGGAAACAAGAGTGGAGAGAAAATATTGGGAGAGGAGGATAGGACAGAGGGCTTGCAGAGAAAAGAGAAACCGTGGGATGGGCATTTCTGAGGCAAACTGGAGACCTCAGATGGGGGGGGGAGGAGGCTCTGGGATGATATGGGGTTTTCTCTAGCGGAGACTCCTAGCAATGGGGGACATGGAGACTGAAGTGTCCACATCCTAGCCAGGTGGGATTTCCAGTGGAGGGAGGAGGATACCAACTCATACACAAAACCTTCAACCCCAAATTTACCCTGCCTACAGGATGCTCAGGGATAAAGATGGAGCATAGAATGAGGGAATGGCCAACCAATCACTGGCCCAAACTTAGACCTACCCTATGGGACAGAACCAACCCCTGACACTATTAATGACACTATGCTATGCTTGAAGACAGGAGCCTAGCATAGGTTTCTTCTGAGAGGATTCCCCCAGGAAAGGATGGAAACAGATGCAGAGATTCCCAGCCAAAGTTTGGGAGGAGCACAGGGAGCCTTGTGGAAGAGTTGGAGGAAGAATAGAAGGACCCAGAGTGGACAGGAGCTTTACAAAAAGACCAATAGGCCCAATTAACATGGGTCCGGGGTGGGGAGACTGAAGCACCAATCAAGGACCATGCATGGACTGGATCTAAGCCCCCTACACACACATATGTACCTGATGGGCAACTTGGTCTTCTTGTGGGCATCCTAGTAAGGGGAGGAGGGGCTGTTTCTCACATGAACTCTGTTGCATGCTTTTTGATAACTTTCTCCTGGTAAGACTGCCTTGTCAGGCCACCATGGAAGAGGATATGCTCAGTCTTGAGGCAACTTGAAGAGCTAGGGTGGGTTAGAGGAGTGAAAGTTAGGTCAGCAGGGAGGGGGACTGAGGCAGGTGAGGATTGGACCAGGAAGAGAGGAAGACAAAGATGATGGTTGGGATGTAAAGAAACTACTAAATAAATAAAGTTAACACTTAAAATAAGAAAATG